ACTAGTAAAAAAAATACTCGATATATTCACGGACAAATGTTTTTTTAATTTACTAAAAATACTTCATTAAAAATGTGTTTTTTGTATGTGACAGATTATAATGTTTACTGAAAGTCTGCCAAATATTAAATGTTTGTAGTATCAAAACTATAAAACTTTATATGACTTCAAAGATGACACGTGATCGGTCAAATTGAATGAGCCTGTGTTGAGAAAGTTAATGTTCTAACAGTGTTCGAACCTCCAAGACATACAAGGTTAACAACGATCTAAAGTTTTAGATGATAAAGATCATTATTTCACTAATTCCCCACTTCTTTTTACAAATATGGTATGACATTTCTCTATTTAGTTTTAAAAAAAATCACTCATCAATATTAGGTAGAATATTTCTGACTTCAAAGTAAACATCTGATAATATTTTGTAAATTTAGGCTTATATTATACTTTAATCTTGACCTATCAGTATGTTCATAACATTAGGCTTAAATTCTATAATCCAACAATAAAACTAATGCATAAATGTCTCATCCTATTTTGTACATTCTCACTCTATGTTATTTATAGTTGAACTTCCCCTGATCCGAAATGCCTACTTAGATATCCATCTTTATGAGTTAACTTGGGAATCACATCTTTATGAGTTAACTTGGGAATCACACCTTTACGAGTTAACTTGGGAATCACATCTTTATGAGTTAACTTGGGAATCACACCTTTATGAGTTAACTTGGGAATCACACCTTTATGAGTTAACTTGGGAATCACACCTTTATGAAATAACTTGGGAATCACATCTTTATCAATTAACTAAATAAAACTGTATTCCCTTCATTACAAATATATCAAAAATCTTTTGGTTATCTATCTAAGAGAAAAAACATGGTCTGTATCATTTTTGAGGAACAGCAATAACTCCATAAATATGACATTTTTATTGAGCAATAGTAGAGCAGATAACATAAAGGTTGTACAGCAAGAAAAAAAACCTTTTTAAACTCATGTTGATGTAAATTTCTTCCATACTGAAATATGAATAACACAACTTACCTGTGAACTCCCTTGGCTCTGAGTGTCAGACTGAGTTGGAGGTCTTACAAGGGTTCGACTTCGTTTTCTAACCGTTGTCTTCCTCAGAAGCTGCTTGTAATTTTCACTCTTCTTGGTTAGATAATAATACTGAACACAGTCAGCTACACTCTGAAATTGATCAAAAAAAATTAGATCCTATGAGATGTTAGAAATAATATGCTAGATGCAACTAATTAAAACAAATTATGTTCCCTAGGTATAATAAATTGATTACATTTTTTATTCCGTGCTTATCAAGTAACAATTCTAATATTAATTATAACACTGCATATTAGATAACATTAGATATTAAATAGTTCTAACAAACAAATATGGTTGCTTTGATTAAAAAAAAACACTAAGTGGTAAAGTACTCAAACAATGATACTCTCTGAAAAATCTAAGTTACTGTGAATAATTATTATTTTTATTTACATAACAGTTTAATATAAAGAATGTTATATTAAATATGTGACTCCAAAGTCAAGTGCATTTCTTGATCCCCTGATTTCAAAGCCTCTATCCAGGGATTTACATTTTGAAATTCACCACAACACAACATAATCCAGAGTTAAAAAACCTGTATTTATTTAAAAAACCAAAATATTTTTTATGTGGGTTAAATGCTCAAAAATAAAAAAATCCAAATTCTGATTTGCTACTTCAACTATATTTAGTTTTTCAATTATATCTGTATAATATGCTTGTTTGTTCACACATGCATATTTAGATAGTAAGGTGAGCGTGCACATTATCATGACAGATAAAAACTGAGTATTATTATAATAGACTAGCAGAGACCCACAAGACATTTGCACTCCGATTAGTGTTTTTATTGCAACAGTACTTCCTTAGATACAAGATTTCTAGAATAATAAAAAGGAAGTCTAATCGCAGGCACCAAAATCTTGTCGTACTATAATTCTGCTGTCAATACGTCTTATAAACATGCACAGTAAGAATTTTACTCAGGAAAACAGTTCAAACACCTGTCTTTGCCAGAGAGCTGGAAAGCTCAACGAACAAGTCACTGTCACTGTTCTACGAATGAAGGAATAACAAAAAAGGTGGATGTAAATATTCTTTATTAACCATTTAGTACACTAACATTAAAAGCTTGAAGTTTTCAAAAAGGTCTGATATTAGGTCCTAGAATAACATTATAAGTTTATTTATAGACAGTATTAAGTACAGTATAGTTTACTCATAATTAAACTAATGTAAAACATGTACACAGTATAGTGTTATCTTTTTATCATACTTAGGCCTACCTTTAGTTAAGGTTTTATAGAGTACAAACAAAATACCAGTGGAGTTACACATTTTGGTGTCTACAAATATTTCCAATTAAAGAAATACTGTTGCAATAAAGATACTAATTTGACAACAAACACCGGTCTCTGCTAGTTTAATAATAATGGTTTTCCAAATACAAGACAACTCATTACAATTGATGAATTTTTTTTTTAAACATAGTTGTTTAATCATGCGTAGAAGTATGCATACTTTTTAAGTCTTCTTTACCATCTTTTTTAACCCTATCACTAAAAGTCATGGGTTAAAGGCCATATCATCGTATTTGACGACTTGCATTCAAAATTTTATTGAACTATTTTATGACATTATGTCAATAAGCTTGGTATCAAAATGTAGATTATCATTTATATTTTAGTATTATACATTATTCAACATCTTAATTTAAAAGTAAATATTAAAAAAAAATCGATTTTTGTGTGTCATATGGTATGGTGAATGCAGCACTGGTTCAGATTAGATGTTTGTGATGTCAAAATACAAAGTCTTTAGTTTCGTACAAATTAGGAATTCAAGTTACTGATATTAATAAGATGGAATATAATAAAAGAACCTCCTATCTTTTCTATCTGCTGAAATATCACTCATGTACTGAATCAAACACAGTAGCCCTGCCCACCTTATATATACACTTAGTTGTGTGTATATGTGAATAACCAGTTGAAAGCTCAGAATGTCCCCTAGTAGCTTTCTCAGCCATTTTCATTTGTTAAGATGCCATCTCGTTCTTTTGAAACAAGATTTCAAGGAGGTAGGTTGTGTCATGTTTTTTTAGACTGAAATACAACTTAGTTACTACACTTGATAAATTATAGTGTAATTATATGGTATCGATATAATAATCTATGATTTTTTGGTTATTCAAATGTCTATATAAAACCTAAAAAAAATTTATTTCCTTTCACATCTTCCACATGCAAAATTTCTTAAGGCTTAGCAAGCTATGAGAAGCAGCAACAGAGTACAAAGATCATAAAAAGAAGAGAACTGTTTGTTTTATTTCTTCATTTACTATGTAATATGTCTTATGAAAAATAAGTTAGAACTTGTTTTTAAATAGTAATAATAAATGTATAATTGAAATGTGACTATTTTACAAAATACTAGTACACTAAAACACAGCCAAGAGAGGTCACTTTGCAAAGACTAAAGATCAGTTTTATATTATCGGATATGGTAACATGAGTGCACATGCACCGCATCATTGTAACTTCCGTATTGTTAGTGAGGTATAGCTGAAAGGTCAACATAATAAAAATAATAAATGTATAGTATTATGAGATTTAAGCTATTCATACAAAACATTTGTGTTTTTGTGTTATAATCTTTAGTCATTGTATAATTTATAAAGCATAATTTATATTTATTTCCTAATTTTTTATGGTGGTTACGAAGTTGGTCAAATTGACAGACCCTGTACAGTTAGGGTAGAGAAAATAACAGACTAAATATAAAGTTTCACTAGAAAAAAAAAAACCGTTTGAAATGTATTTAGGAGGTTTTAGAGAGTACACAAATAATATTTGAGATTTTTGAGAAGAAAAAGCTTTTTTAATCTTGACATGAAAATCACTTTGCACTCTGACTAGTAACAAAACAGACTATACTTTCACAAACAAATCTTTAGTAAAAATATTTCATTAAAAAATCTGATTTTTTATGTACAAAAGACTCGGAATCATTACTAAATGTCTACCAGATTTTGTGAAGATACATATACAGCATTAAAACTTTTAGTATAAATACTTAACGTGTGCAAATATGTATACAAAGTTGTGTATTTTATACCGAGCCCGTCGTGAAAGGGTTAAGGCTCTCTCTCTCTTTTTTATTTTCCTCTCTCTGTATGGATGTAGACCTACTTTTTTTTAAGGCTTCCCTTTTTTAAATCATGTATGAAAGCATCCCTAATGTTTACAATTCCTTTTTATAACATATGAAGTACATTTACTTTTTAAGGCTCCTTCCTTCTTTATCACTTCCTTCTTGAGGCATTTCTTCATCATGTACGAAGGTACATGTACTTTTTAAGGTTCTTTTTTTTTATATAATATACACAATCATACCAACTTCTTAACACATCCAACTAAACAACTTAAAATCATTAGGATAAAAAAAAGTATCCATTTCTTAAAGATCTGAACTCATGTTGTTCTTTAATAACTAGTATCAATTATTGGAATGTTTCGCTAACAATAAAAACCATTAAGTCAAAATTTACAGAAATATGAAAAATATTCTGAACAATCCTATTAAAGTTATTATGATATGTTATATGTTGGTAATTTGCTAAGAATTATGGAAAAACAACCTTTCTCTCCAAATGTGATGCAATTATAATAAAATTCTTTGGATGCTGAAGGAACTTTTCTCTAAAAACTTCTTTTTCTTGATCTGTCCAAATATTTAGCATTTGCCTTTCTTTGTATTCTGCCATAGGGTCTTCAACAAGTCCATTTTTATTAATATATTGAATATTTTTTTGTCGATGGTCAAACAAGATGGGTGGAATAACAGCATAACTCCTCATCTTTTTGTCTTCCAACTACAAGAAACATGAAAGCAATCAAATATACAGAAAAAAGGCACATGTAAAAGTCTTAATGTCACCTTCCATACAAACTTAGTAAATCACAACATTAAAATGTTTCCTTTATTTATTATCTCAAACTTTCTATCTTACAGTTGAGAAGTTATAATGTTTTTTTTTATTATAAGAAAAATTATTTTCAACATCCCACTGTTCAAATTTTCAGTAAAATACTCAGAGTAAAACACTAATTTGTTGAGCAAAACTAGATTAAAATGACTTGTTAGTTTCCAAACCGATATAATGTTTATCAAAATCATAATAAAAGGTCCATAACCTTGAAGAAAACTAATGTGATATTTATTAAAATAATAAAGAGATTCATAACTTTAAAACTGATATGACAATTATGAATATAATAATAAAGAGGTTCATAACTTTAAAAATAAACAGACGTACAAGACTTGGAACATTTCAAGAATAACATGTTTAAAAAAGTAGTTCACCATATTTTATACCTCTTTTTTTTATGACTTGATTAATACAGGAATTTCATTGATTTTTTAAAAATTGTTTTAGAACAATAGAAAAAAAATTTAATACCTCTTGTTCTTGTAATCCATCCATGATTTCTTCCATTTCTGCATCACTCCGAACTCTCTGTCCCACTCTTGACAATCGTTCTCTTTCTTCTCGTTGCTTTCTAAGCTCTGGATATTGTTTTTCAAAATATTCCCGTACCTTGATATCTTTCAGCCTGTAAGAAATATTTTTGTATTTGTAGTTAATGCAAAACTAATATATGTAATGGTGAATAACTCATCAAAGATTGAAAAATTTTTTTTAAATAATATCTTCTTTTTTTTACCAGTATCTAAGGTAATTAAAAACAACTAAATTTTTAGAAGGAAGTTTAATTATATTTCCTATGAGTCAACTACATCAGATTGCAACATATATATATCATTAATTTTAATATTTTATTCAGTTTCTCATGGAAGATAGCATGCATCAATATTATCACATCACAGAAAATATGTTTTTAGCAGGAAGGGACTTTTTTGTTTGTTACTATATGCTATCATGCAAGGGTGTAGATTTGGTGTACCTGGATTTTCAGAAAGCATTTGACAAGGAGCCAAATAAAAGGCTTGTAAAAAAAATTATCTCTATAGGTGTGGGGGATAAGTTATCAAATTGGATAGAAGAGTGGCTGGATGGAAGAAAGCAGAGGTTTGTTACAAATGGAGTAAAACTGGATTAATGTCACAAGTGTGGTACCTTAGGGCTCAGTCTTAAGACCCTTGCTCATTTTGATTTGAATCAATGACATAGATGAAGTAATGGTCAATAAATTACTTAAATTTGCAAATGATATTAAGGTCTTGGGGGTTGCTAGCTGTGAAGAGGATGCTGGTGCTTTACAAAAGGATTTAGATCATTTAGTGAGTTGGGCAAATAAATGGAAGATGGTTTTAATTTTAATAAATGCAAGATAATGCATGTGAGTTATCATAATTTGAATTATAAGTATAATTTAGATGGGAATAACCTTAACGGTTAACTCACCACAAAAAGCACAGGAAACTAAGACCTTAGTTCCATCATAAACAATACAGATGAAGAAAAAAAAGAAATAAAAAAGTTGAGCACTGGTAAGTCAGTTGCTTTGAGCATTAGGAGTTTATTTGATAAGAGTTTTGAGAAAGTCTATCTTGAACATTTATGTAGAGTATTGAATACAATAAATGTTAAAAGAAACAGATGGGACTGAATTTCAACTTTGACATCAACCATTCATTCAAGAAACAAGATTGAAGGCTATAAAAATTATGCGACACACGCAACACATTTTCTCTAAATATCTTCTCTGTTTTATCCACCACCCCTCCAGTAACTACAAAATTAAATGTAAATTACTCACTATAAAATCGTCATTGCTCAGACCATAATTCTTATAGCCTTCAATTTTGTTTGGTTACAGAGCTATCAAATAGAAAATCAGACCCCCTCCTGTCACATCCTCTCTTACAGAATTTGTTAATAGTTCTCTCTTATGTTTAATTATATATTACCCATAAACATTAGAAAGCCAAGGTTTTCATCCATCAAATGGCATATTATATTTGTTGTGTTCTGAACAGATAATTGTTAATTTCACTTGTAATACAACTTCGGTTCCCACAGGAATCACAACAGCTAGTTTTATTGAATTTGTAACAGCTCTTGTCACATAGTTAGAAAACCAGAAAAATTGTGATTGTTAAAGAAAATTTTCTGCTTTTTGAATGTTATCATGTGTTCTTTGGTGCATTATATAATGCACTACTACCATTAGTATAAAAAGTAGGGTTAAGTGTCATCAATAGTCAACAGACAAAAAAAAAAAAAAAAGAATACTCGGATAAGTAACTATACTTCTTTGTTTTTCGTTTTTATTTCTTTTATTTATTTAATTATAAGTAGTAA